TGAACGTGATTTACTAGATAGTTCCAGGAAATAAAAGTTCTGGAGAAAAGTTCCGGAAACTATTCCTGGGAAAAGTACTTGATGTGAAAGCGCCTATTGAGATTAAAATCTCTTTTTCAAGAGCGACCTGGCCAAGAGGGCAGCTTGAACAAAGTTACAACAAATGAACACAAAACAAAACAGGAAGAGGAATACAGCTGTAAAACACAAATGAAAAAGGCACATCAACCAGTCAATGTGCAAATAAAGAAGCCATTATAAAACATTACACATTTTAAAACGACTTCAAGTATGGGATATACGAGCAATCACATCGACCAATCGATTCTTGTTCTCTGTCCTTTAAGATAGACTTGAATTCCCCCAGAGAGATAACATCTGAGAGTTTCAGCTCCTTCTGTATATTAATTCATGATAGACGTATTTACCCGGAGGTAAGCTGCGCATGGGTTCACTCGACAAAAAAGCAATGGGATTTCTCCATAGGATTTTGGAAAATAGCTCGAAATAAGATCTGTGGAAACTAACCTGTTTGATAAATGCACGTTTTTTTCAGCCGGATAATTTTCACGTCTACCCTACTTTTATAATTTTCTAATCATACATCTAATCGCCCGAAGCAAAATGCTAACGTTATGCTATAAACAAACTACAGCAGGGTCGCACGACTTCAACGTCACGCCAACTTAAGATCCATATTCAAACATACAGATTCTAAATGGTACGAGTTGAAGCGTTTGTTTGAACAGTTTGCAGGAGGCAGGTACTTGCTTTCAAGCAGAACAGGGCAAACTAATTCAGAGGAGTGTTTACGTGTTCGGCGTAATGACGTACAACGTCCTCCACAACTTCTGTAGTCCTATTCAGCCACTTGGTAACAACCATCGTTTTTCAGACACGTCAACTCTTCAGAATCACCAGTGGGGTCACTGCTGATGGATTTAATGTCGTAGAACAAAACGTGATCCGTCTCTTCAATGTGTCTCAACCACAGACCTTATTTCAGCTATTTTCCTAAATCCTATGGAGAAAACCCATTGGCTCTGAGACGAGGGAACAGGAAGTGGCAAAATGCTAACTCACACTTCCGGGTTCTAGGACTCGTCACTGCACCACTCTATAGGTGACCTTTAATATCTAATGTATAGTTCGATAGTGGCGGTGTCTTCACCTCTGTTTCCCTTCGTTGAGCGAGTTCTCGTCCACCGACTGGTCGTACGTTGTCCTGATATCGTCCAGACAGCCATTGTCTCCGAACGCTCCCCACTCCATGTTCACACACATGCGGCCCTCGTTCCCCTCCACGATCTCAATGTTCTTCGCCTCCTCCATGTAGCACGCGTTACTTCCGGTCCCTGAGAGGACACACAGGCAGTAAATATATTAAAAACCCTGAAGCCTTTCTGTTAATTGAGACCTTTCTGAGAGTAGTGTCTCCTATTGGTGTTATATCAAGTTCACTATCTAAGCCATTACCAAATATTGTCACCTTCAACTTTTTTTTAAACACATTTCTCGGGCTGTATGAACATTTTGAAGCGGTTATAAGTTAGATACCAGTGGTGGATGCCTATCATCATTGTTTCGGACTTGTTTAATCTGAACATTTACTTAAACCAGAGCATTGGTTAGTCAAATAAATCTGCATTTATTATAAAATTATCGATCTAGTAATGCTTTTATCTTACAAACAATTCTTCTTCCACCCATGCTTTGCATTTCGATCCATATTTGTTGGTGTTTAGCTTTTTAAAAAACTGCATTTCCAAATTCCTCTACGCTCGCTGCACACAAATAGACACACACCTGTATTACGATAATGTCTAGCAGCAAACTAACGAAACTGCCGAGTTATATGTACGAAAGAAACACTTAACTGATTCAGCCCGGTAAATCACTTTAGTGGAATTGAGTATTTTGTTCAAACATTTTATTTTGGCGGGGACTGATGTGGAAATAAAATTAAATGAAATTCTCAAAACAAACAAAAAAATAAACAAAAAATTACTTTATTAAAAAAACTCCAAGGTGAAACATTCGTAAAGCCCTACAATATCCTGATTTAAGATGAACTTGTTGGTACAATGACTAACCTGCGATCAGTCCCACTTCACAGTTGGGCTCCTCGTATGCGCAGGTCATCATCGTGCCCACTGTGTCGTTCACTATGGCAACAACATCCAGCTCAAACTCCTGAGAAAACAAACGCCATTTTTTGTTTTAAATCACATGAAACTGCACACCTGTCACTGTCATTTAAAAAACTCACAATTCAATATATTGGCTGTTATAATCAAATGAATAGTGTACAAATCATGTTATATTTGATTATTAGAATGGTAAAGCAAAATTCCCTTTCTTGACAGGGTAGAAATGTAAAACGATAACTAACCAAAACAAATAGCAAATATGTTAATTCATAATATTTAATCACAGCTACGTCCTCAGTCAATGTGTAGCATCTGTTTGGTGTGTAGAAAGAAGGATTAATATCAGCTTTTCAAACGCCACACTGAGCACAATGCAGTTCACTCACATTCCTAAACGCAATGAAAAACACAAGCTGATCCAGAGCGCTGCAAATCCCAGGAGCTTCGCCAAACACACAGAAACCCAAGGATCATCCACTCCCATCATTAGAACACACTCCGCCGCAGTATCTGAACGTTGGTTTTCCAGGTGTTATGACATGCCATTTCAACAATAACACACCGCTCCAGGCCTGCACTGCTTTACCTGTCAGTTAATGATTTACAGTCACTTAATACTTACTGGATCCTCCACCTGAAAGGGTGAAATCAAGAAACTCAAACGTGATGATTGGTGAAGAAAACTTTCTGAAGACAACACGGATGCAACAAACTCAAATCGGGCCCTTCGAGGGCTATAGATGTTTTTACCTTCACGGTCTACTGTATATTTTTCTACTTTTTAATGCTGTTTTATTTCTATTTTGTGATGTTTACATTTTAGAATAGTTCATTTCTAGTCTTTCATTTCTACTTATGTGCATTGCCTTGTTTTGTTATTTATGCTGCTGCAATGCAAATTGGGTGGATGGATAGATAGATAGGTAGGTAGACAGGTAGGTAGGTAGACAGGTAGATAGATAGGTAGGTAGACAGGTAGACAGGTAGGTAGGTAGACAGGTAGGTAGACAGGTAGACAGGTAGGTAGACAGGTAGGTAGACAGGTAGGTAGACAGGTAAACAGGTAGGTAGGTAGGTAGACAGATAGGTAGGTAGACAGGTAGACAGGTAGGTAGACAGGTAGACAGGTAGGTAGACAGGTAGGTAGACAGGTAGGTAGACAGGTAGGTAGGTAGGTAGACAGATAGGTAGGTAGACAGGTAGACAGGTAGACAGGTAGGTAGACAGGTAGACAGGTAGGTAGACAGGTAGGTAGGTAGGTATACAGGTAGGTAGACAGGTAGGTAGGTATACAGGTAGGTAGACAGGTAGGTAGGTAGACAGGTAGGTAAACAGGTAGGTAGGTAGACAGGTAGGTAAACAGGTAGGTAGGTAGACAGGTAGACAGACAGACAGGTAAACAGGTAGGTAGGTAGGTAGACAAACATAAACAGTCCAAAATTATTCTGAAAATGAAATAAAATAGCATTAATAAGTAAAAAAAAAAGTGGAAATACACATTTCCAGTAACAAATATAATGCAGGATATTATTGTGCAAGAAATGGATTATTCAATATGATGACTATCTTTGCCCATTACATTTTATCAATGGGTTTATTACAGGGCTCCTTTTTGCCCCGCAGCGTCCAGTACAGGCAGCATTTCTATTTGTATTCTTTGGCAAGATAACAAACAGTAGTTCTGTAGAGCAGGAACAGACAAGTAGCTAGACAAACACACACATCCTGCCAAAGGATTGTTGATCTAATGTCAACAACAACAATGCTACAGAGGCTGCATGTCAGTCAGACTCTTTATATGCAGGCTTTAAAGCAACATGAGACAACAGTCTAAGCTACAAAGAGACAGATGATACAAGGTGCATTGAAACAAAAACAAAGTGTTGATAACGTCTTTAAGTTCTCATAAACACAATCAAACAAAACTGCCTCGATGCATCAGCAAAGCAGCGGTCAGAAGTTCATTACAAATGGAATTTAATAAGAGTAATCTAATCTAAATCTTGAATCTAAATGGAATATTGCCCACACTTTCCTTTCATTGCTACGTTAATTGCGTTAAAGCTCAAATCTGTACCTTACTTTGAGCAAACCCTTTTGCTAAAATGATACTATTTCACTTCCTAATGTTCTCTTAATGGCAGATGTGTCACAAGAAAAATCTGTGTAGCTGCAGTGACATAATAGTCTTCTTAATGATGATGGCATGTACTTCCTGTTTGCAATTACCTCTTTCCTCTTGATGGCGTCCCGAAGAAGCTCCACCACATTTTCACCCTCACAGTCTGTAGCTTTGAAGCCTTTGGTCCAGGTTACGAGAATACCCTGCAGAGCACATAACACTTACTGGAAGATATCTGACAGAGAGTACCACACTTTAATGCCAACACAGCACACTTTAATGTTCACTTTCATCTTGAACAGGAGGGAGAAATATGGACGAATATAACAGATTAGTTGTGCAAATACTGTATATATTTAGTAGTTAGGTGCACTTGCAGAATAAAGCCATAGACAGAAGAATGATTGTATCGAACTGTAAACTAAATGCTTGCTTTAATTACTTGCCACCCTTTGCATAGATTGTTGTGGTAAACTCCACCTCTTTTACATTGAAGTGACCCAGATATTTTCCACCTAAACCTTGGACACAAGCGATAAATATAGACGGAGACAACATATTATGTATGCTAATACCGTAATTTTCGGACTATAAGGCGCACCTGAATATAAGCCGCAGCAGCTAAATTGAATGATGTGTACATATATAAGCCGCACTGGACTATAAGCCGCAGGTGTTTTAATGTTTAATTACCATATGTAAGGGTTCGTGCACAGAGGGGATTGTCGGGAAAGAGATGGCTGTTTGAGGAAGCTCCCATTTATTAACATTTCAACAAACAAGTTGCATATTTGCGTAACGTATTCAAGTGTTAGCATTTAGTGCAATAGTAGCTACAGAACATGTGCTGTGTAAACTGTACTGTATCACATAGCGTTTCAGACACACAAACTTTTCAACTTTCAAACTTAAACGGTGCGCTCCCAGC